AGTCTTAATAAGCCCAAGACATCTTAATAAGGGTCACAAACTAATTAACTAGAAAAGGAAAACCCTGCAGAATGCATGCGTGCACCTTTAAATTTATCAGATTAATTCATTAGCAGTTAGAGTAAATTTAAAGTGTTGGGAGGATGTTTTAGAATAATCTCATTTTTATTCAACTGTCAGCCCCCCCCAGCCCCAAAAGCTGCATTAAACACCTCTGAATAGAGATCTTCCATATATAAAACAAATGCAAGATCCCAGAAGCCTTTTAGTGTGCGAAACTGGCAAAACCACATCAAAATTTTGGTCAAGTTCCGACACCGACTTACATTCTTTATTCTTGTTTTGTCGACATTAAAAGATGCTAGCCCTGCAAAGTGCTCACTCAGATGAATGACTGTGAGCCCCTGGCTTTATCGATACTCCCAGGTCTCCTGGGCTTCACTCTTACAGAGCTGATCTCCTTCTAAGAGGTGTGCTTTCCAAATTCTTGAAACCCAGGGAAAAGCTGCATGGGCCTCAGCTCCTGTCACTCCCCCTCTCTGGCTGCTGTGGGTCCCTCTGTGCCTACAGTTGTATATTTCCTTTGACTTCAGCTCCGATGGGATGCAGTTCCTTCCCTCCTGGGCTCGGCTCCTGAATGAAGCCGAGAGCCGCACAGCCCACCCAGCACGCTGACACCAGCACACTCTCTTCTCGGGGACTCCAGTCTGAGCTCCCTGCACTGACCCAGATTCTCCCAGGGGAGAGAGAGGAGGCAGCAGTGGCTTTGTTTTCCGCCTAGACGCTCTACCAAATCCAACCAGGAAGCTTTTTTTTTGGTTTTTAAACAGCTGTTAAATGACAACAACAACAAAAATGTTCTCCCCAAAAGCCATCCAGCCAACACCAAAGAGCTGAATCATTCTAATGGAATCACTGATACTGTAAGGGTCTCGGTGCCACAGAAGTCCATGCACCTTTCAAGGGGTCGCCCCACTTAGGTGGAGATCACACGCGTCTGAGTGATGACGGCGTTTCAGTCATCACGCCCCCTCCCTGTTTTAACAACTGACCAGAAAGTGATTGGCCATGGAAAGTCAAGCAGCTTACACGGTGGATCTCCTAATCCATCACTGCACCCATTTCCCCCTCGTCTCCTCTGGTGACTTTTCTGATATTAAACTCGCAGGGAAACCCACCTGCTCGTTTTGGCCAGTAGGGACCACTTGATAGATAGCACCAAAAAAGTCAATTGTCAACTTATGGCCACAAAGAATGACTTTACTATCAGGAAAAAATATATATATGTCTACAGAGAGCAGGAGGCTTTGTTCATCCTTTGGAGAGAAAAGGAGGAGAAGGAGCCTATCTCAGCACGAGTCCTTTCTCACGTGTCCCTGCTTTAGCTTCACTTTGCAATGGGAACCTGCGGATCTCACCAGCTACGATGTTCTGTGACAGCAAACACCGGGCCTGAGATCAGGATCGCTGACTTTGTCTGCCGAATTTGGGGTTCTCCTTCTGCAGAAGCCAAGGGGTTACCTCTCATCTTCCATCCACCTGTTTTGAACCACCCCTCCCGCTCCCCCCCAACTCCTCTTCATAAACACAGCCTACCCCCTCAAGGGGAAAGAAATGTCAGCAGTGAAGAGGCAAGAGGGACTCACTCTGGGCTTTGGAGCCATTTCCCTACAGGCTTGAGAATGGAGGGACGGGTCCCTTCGTGATGAATTCTCACCCTGGCTCTTGCTTCTAATTCCCAGGCAGGTACGAATACGCATTAGTTTTCACATCTAGGAACGTGGGTAATGACAACAACAGGCCTTCCCCAGGGGCCCACATACATGATTAACTCTACAGCAAAATACTTAGAAATCCATTTAAGGTGGAAGATGGTTTATTAATACGTTTTGCCGGCCACCACTTCATTACTATAGCCAGGCAGAAAAATAACTCTCCTCGCAGGCTCTGCAAGGTGTTCGGTTCATACCGGTCTGCGTGCGGTTGATCTCAGACAGGCAAACCATCTCTGCCCCCGGCCAGGGAAGGCGGAGTGGCGAGCGGCAGCCTCCCAGCCTGGCCGGCAGAAGACCCAGCAGAGAGCAGGTAACGCTCAGGGCGGACAAAGAAAAGCCCCTGGTGGCCGCATAGCTGCTCTGTGGGCCCAGGGAATCCAAACTCCGTTCAAAAACGGAAGTTGAGAAAGCGGTGAGAGGCCAGGGATGCCCGCACAAGTAACAGGGCAGAATCCATTTTACCGAAACTCATTATTGAAGTGGTTTGAATAGATAAAGATCAAAATCATATGTCAACTCCCTTCTCACCCCCTAATCCCGAAATGTAAACAACACTGAGTGGCTGATCTTACATCCTGCCCCTCGCTTCATAGGAACTGCTGGATTTATTTTAATTTTTCCCAGCATATCTGAGTTCATGAGAATGGCATGGCAGTCAGAGCAATTTCATTATTTGCGTCCTTTATAGAAGCAACTCCCTTTCTACCCCCTGGAAAGCAGACCCCTTACGAGCGCCCACCTCCGCGTCCCCCGCCGCCCTCCCGCCGCCCCTCCCTCCCGCGTGCACGTGCACTGCACACACAGATCAGCTTGTCACAGCTTGTCTCTGTGCTGACAGCTGTAACTGCTTCAGGTTATAGAAACATCTACAGGACAATGCCTTTCAAGCTCATGGCGCGCACACACGTACACACACAGGCACACACACGTACACACACAGGCACATACACACACACAGGCACACACACGCAGGCATGCACACACACACAGGCACACACACGTACACACACAGGCACGCACACAGGCAGCACACACACAGGCACGCACACACAGGCACACACACTCACACACACCCTGTCTGAACAGAGGAACGCAATCATATCCCCCTTAATAATCCCATGACTGCGAAGGAGGGGGAGCGCAGGAGCGTGCCGGGCAGACCCGGAGCGCTGGCGGGCAGGTGAGGACGCGGGCCGTCGTAGGCTCCTGGCAGCCGCGGCGTCTCCGCGCTGAAGCAGGCTTGGAAGGGGGGAGACTCTCCGGGAAAGTGAGCTCAGCTGTTGTTTGTGTTTGACTCTGTGTTCCCTGCAGCAAGCGGGGGCCCAGCAAGAGAGCAGTGCACATTCCACACACACGGACCCAAAGAAGGGCCCTCGCTGAAGAAATGCCAGGGCGGCTTCTCCTTCCCTGACAAGGCGACAGGCCCCCTCTCCTGGTGGAGACTCCACATAGGCGCGCGGGCGAGAGGCGGGCGAGAGGCTGCGACGCGCAGGGCAGTGAGGGCGGCCTGGCACCACACAGGCGGCGGGAGGGGGAATCGAACAGGCGGTGTCCGTCTGGCTAAGGAGGTGGCTCGGGGAGTAGGCAGGGCTGGACTCTGGGAAAACGCGTGCTGCTTTCTCCCCTTAGAGGAGTATAGGATCCAAATGCAGCCACTGTTCACCGGGGCTGCTGTCTAGCATGTTAGGGTCCCAGTGGGAAGAGCCAAAGAGCAACCTGGAGACGGGGAAGAAATGTCCGGGGAGAGCAAAGCGGCCAGGAACAGGGACAGTGGAGGAGGCGGAGGATGGGGGGAGTGGCCGGGGTCAGGCTGCCCATAGACTCTGAAAGGCGTGAAGCTCTGTTGGGTACAAAAAGTGGAGAAGTGGTCAGTGGAATCATCGGACAGAAAAGTAAAGCGAAGCAGCACAAATGTCCAAAGTCAAACTATCACCAAAGCCAGAGCGGGTGCCCCAGAGGGGAGCACCGCCGGAGCCAGAGGTCCCCGGGAGGAATCTCTCCTTACCTAGGCTGTGGGTTCTAAGAAGACCCTGGATTCACAGAACCCCAGAGTGAAGTGGCCAGAAGGAGCCTGGAAAGGCACTGAACGTAAACCACTCATCTCACAAGCGGGGGTGTGAGCCCAGGGGGAGGACGCGTGCATCACAGGACATAAGGGTAACAACTGGCAAGTCAGGACGGGAACTCAGGACGGCTGGCTCTGGCTCCAGTGTCCGCTCCGCTCTCCCTGTCGGGTGAGGGCCCTGCTGAAGGGCAAAGTCGTAGATCTCCTTTGCTGCGTCTTTGGCACATGGGAGAACCACGGAAACGCAAGCGTTACTGCCCAGTGTGGGTACCTCTGGGCGTCCGGTTCGTCAGGGGAACTCCGTGTAGTCAGCAAACCTCAACAAGTAGACTCTGAGCGCCTCCTGCAGGCCAGGAGCTGTGCTGGGCGTCAGAGACACGAGGACGAAAGACATCTCCCTGCCCTCAGTTTGCTCACAGTCCAGGGCTGTTGGGTTGATCAGTTGTTCTCTCATTTCCGTCCACGAAAGTTCAAGCTGGAATGAGCTCAGCCCCACGCTCCCTGGGGGTCCCCAGCGCACTCTCTCTGCTGAGAAAAGAGAGCTGGGACGTGTCTCTCCCGTGGGAAGCTGATCCCATGATGCGGGTTCAGATTTCCAGGCACTGACCGTGGTTTCCTGAGCTCCATTTAAAGTGGCACCGGAGGGGGAGGGGGGCTCGCAAGGATTTTTAAACGTAGGGAAGAAATTCACGCTCCTGACAAGGATGTTTTTATTCAGTGCACACGAAGTGCCAGAGATGCGCTAGGTGGTGGGTTTGTGTTGTGTGCGAGAGAGACAGAAACAAATCGGCGAGCGTCCAGCCCTAGCAGAGGACACAGACGTTAAGGCAAGAACTTGACCGGACGGCAGACACAAGGGCGGCGAGCACGGGGGGTGGGGGATGGAAGGACGCACACGGTAGAAGTCTCTTGTGGAATCTGGGAGACCACGAGACGTTTCCCTGAGGAAACGGCTTTAAACTGGGGCCTAACAGTGAGAAGAGATGAATGCGCAGGCGGCTGGGCGGGAATCTGGTTGCAGGCTGGACAGAATGCTCCACAACCCAAGACCGACCGGAAGGAGCCTGGGCAGGCTGCGCTTTATACTCACAGACTGCGCTCATGTAAGCCTGGGCTGGGTACGTCTGAAGTGCTCTGCCG